AAACCATTTCAGGTGACTACCTCTTGAAGCTCATGGAGAGAATGCCAAGAGTGTGCAAAGCAGTAATCAGAGCAAAGGGTGGCTATTTTGAAGAAACTAGAATATAAAACATGTTTTCAGTTATTTCACCTTTTTTTGTTAAGTACATAACTCCACATGTGTTCATTCATAGTTTTGATGCCTTCAGTGAGAATCTACAATGTAAATAGTCGTGAAAATAAAGAAAACGCATTGAATGAGAAGGTGTGTCCAAACTTTTGGCCTGTACTGTATATGCTAAAAATAATTTTTGGGAGTTCGATTTTTTTATGCCTCCGTGCCAGCGATAGCTGTAGCCGCAGGCATTATGATTTCGTGTTTCCTGTCCATGCGTACGTCACATTCTCATGAACGCAATATCTCAAGAACGAAGAATAAACTGATAACAATTTGGTGGTCAAAGGTCAAAGGTGACTTCACAAAACTTGTCTTTGGCCATTACTCAAGAATTCATACACTAATTATGACAAAACTTCACACATATGTCTATAGAATAGGATATAATAGGATATAATGATCAAGTGATGACATTTTATATTCAAAAGGTCAAAAGTCCGCTCCACTGTGACATCATAATGTTCTGCAACAACACCTTTGTGGCCATTACTCAACGTTATATCTCAGGAACAGAAGGGGAGACATTTGGTCAGGTGCTGGATTGGTGACACTAATCTCGGTGCCCATTTCGAAATGTGTTGATTGTATGAATCTTCTGTGCTGCCCGGGGGGAAGATATGTATGGCAGCCATGTTTTTTCAGACATGGATGTATAAATTGTAAGAGAAACCACGGGGCGGTAACTCTACTGTCTAAAGCCGTACTCGACCAGACAGTTGAGTTGTCATTTTATGGTCAAGGTACTAAAACTAAGAAAATAAACTCTCTACCATGAAGTGACGTCTCAATGGTTTGGTAGAGGCTGTATATGAAAAACTATGGGCTCTCTTCAAAAAAAGAAAAGATTCTCTGTTGTGTGTTATTGCCCCAGGAAAATAAAAAATGTAAAGAAATGCTTTATCCATTGCCTTTTTTTAGAGTGGACATTAAAGGGTATTCCTCAGACTCAACTTGTTGCTGTATTGCACAGCGGCCAGTTGACAAATAGCTTTTTGGACCTCTTCCACAACAGACTGTGTCTGCATGACTGTTGAACATCAGTGCAAAGTGATGCATCTAGACAGAAGATATTGCTCTTGGATAAGTACTGACACTAAAATCTAATATTTACTCCTGATATATTAGATTGCTGAAGAGGCTCAGTCACATTTATTCATTCATCCAGTGAAATAAGAGCAGAGCCAACAACAAAATGGTCAAAGAAACGTACGGGACGTTGTAAAAAGCTATTTCTCAGCGATGTTGAAATGAACTTGGGGGCTGCTACAGGATAACGACGTCCACCTTTGTCCAGATTACATTTCTTAAAAATCACCCACAAGCACACTCACCTTCAGGTGAACTGGTGGCTGTGAAAAACTATTTTTGTGCTGCCTTTTTTTTTTTTTTTTTTTTTACAACAAGCTATTCTTATCTGTCTTGATTGAATTTGTTTTTGCATGTTCTTGTTGCAGCAGCACCAAACAAGACGTTCCCCCTCAGGGAGATGTTTTAGAACAGATTTTTCCTTTACTCTGCACTCCATTCATTACTGGAAGGATGAGAGACGTTTAGATAATTGATGCTATTTCTGTTTTCCTCTGTCTCTACTAGGTGGTGTTGAAGAACGCCCACATGGCCGTCGGCTCCTTGACCATCAACGAGGAGAGGTCAGAGGTCATCGACTTCTCCGTCCCCTTCATCGAGACGGGCATCAGCGTCATGGTCTCACGGAGCAACGGCACCGTTTCACCCTCAGCCTTCTTAGGTGAGGAGCACAGCAGAGACGTCAGAGACGGGCTGACGGACATTTTCTTTACATTTTCTGATATTGTAATTATGCAACTATCAAAGCATAAATGCTCAGTCTCTTGGGAATTTGATCTTTTCCACAGGCTGCTCAGAAAAAATGTCTTAGTTGTTACACCTCCTGGTTAACCGTATTTATTAGTGGCACCCTCTAGCTGCACCAGCTTTACACCTCAAGGTGTACAGGAGGAATTTGCAGGACAGGTAGCACAGGTGGAGATCCAGTCTCAAATATGAAACAATGATCCATGTTCACCATGAGGGCTGCTATAATACAGGCAGATGCACTCTGGTTTAATAGTCGACCATATTAGAGCGTACATAGGCCACGCCAGAGTCCTGCATCAGGTCGGATGACCCGTATAAAAGGTGATTCACAGGTAGTATTCGTCTTAAAACCTATCCAAACAGGACAAGTGTTGCAAGAGGGTCTCATTTAATTACTAATAACTGCGGAGGTCGACTGTGATCTAAATCCCATGCGAATCTGCCATGTCCGCAATTTGTCAAGTAAAAATTCCACCCCAAATTACCCCATATTTCACCAAACACAGAGGTCATGAGATCGTATTAGTCCTTCGCAAACTGGCATCTCTGTGATCTGGGGTTGTATTTCTGCCTCTTTGTTGATCGAAAGAATTAAGGAGGCTGCATTGGCATTTATAAATGAAAGTTTAGGCAGCATTTTGGGTGCAGGAGGCTCATCTCACAGCATAACATGGAGACCCATTCACAGAAAACGCGTACTCCAATCATTTAGAAGAGCGAAATCTCACAAGATGATGAGAAGGATGACATGTGACAATGTGTGGCAGATTCAGTTCTGTTTGTTTAACTCACATTAAAAGAAAACAGGAGGTTTACACTGCATATCACCACTGACCGGGCGCGTCATATCCAAGAAGTAATATACGTACATTTAAGTAAAATACAAACTTTGTTCACCCATGCAAATTTAATTTAATTAATTTAATTTCTGGGTAAAACAAAGAACATGCAGGTCACATCCTCAGTGTTGGATAATAAATATATTAAAATCAAATCAAAATAATTTAGTTACATAAATAAATAAATAAATAAATTTAGTTTTTTGATCTTCTGACTGCTGGTTTTAAGTTTCAGCTCTGTCTTTTACACCAGCTGGAATATTAGAGTCACTTCAATCAGTTGTGTTACTAACATGTTAACTGTGGAGATGTGCTGCTCGATATTATCAGAATAAGCAAAAAATATTCTTTTTCCTGAAGTATCTTCATTTTTAAATGTTTTATTTTAGATTTACATGTTTGAAATGATCCCAAAAGATCACTTAAATGTGCTGCCTAACCAAAACATATGAACGGGCATGGATATTTTTGGATTTGCGGTTTTGGGTTAGGCTGCTGATCTTGTCGGCGGGTCTAATTGGTCATTTTTGCGGGTGCAGTATTGTGAAAATCAGACTTGTGCAGGACTCTAGGCCTCGCCACAATACACAAATTTTTATTTATTTTGCAAACATTTTGTGGAAGTTAAACTATACATTTGGACAGAGGTAGCAGATTGGTTTCAAAGACTCTTTATGATTGTTTGACTTTAATGTAACTTTCTTTTCGCCTATACGTCTGCCACATTGAGAGCGCTGTATGGATCTTAGTCAGGTCACTTTAAGTTGACATCCATTTTCACACCTTTAGAAGTTGAACTCAAAGTGATTTAGTGGACACAAGTGATTAGAGCCAAGTCCTAATGCGTTTGTGTGATGATGAGGAGGCAGACAGGAGAGCGTGATAATGTGGCTAACTGTTTATTTATTCTCTCTTTCGCTTCCTGTCTCTTTGCCCTCTTGTATTTCCCACTCCTACTCCAATTCTCTGACTCTCCCTTCCTCTTCTCAATCTGGCGCTCTACATTTGCATATCTCTCTTGCCCTCTCCCTCTTTCGCTTCGTTTTCTTTCCCTTTGTCTCTGCCGCCCTCGCTCTTTTCTCCCTCTTCCTCCCTCCCCTGACGTCCCTCGCCTATTCCCCGTCATCTTACACTCCTCTTTTCCCCCCTCTTTTCTCTTTTCCTAATCTCTGTCCGTCCACGGTTCCTCCCTCAATCCCTTGTCTCCCTGGTCTCCCTTCTTCATCTCTCTCCCTCTCCTCTCTTTCACCCTCCAGAGCCCTTCAGTGCAGATGTGTGGGTGATGATGTTCGTGATGCTGCTGCTGGTGTCAGCAATAGCTGTGTTTATATTCGAGTACTTCAGCCCTGTGGGCTACAACCGCTGTCTGGCTGATGGCAAAGGTGAGAGGCCTCAGCTCAACACACTCCCAGACACACACACGTGCGCACACACACACACACACACACACACACACAGAGGCAGTGTACCTGTTGGGGGGTGGGCTGCACAGTGTTGGAGGATATAGATTTAAATGGATGCAGACATTTTCTCTTCTTTTCACCGTGCCGCCTCCCTCGTCTCTCACTCCTTTTGCTCAGAACACACCAGATGGGAGGGCGCGCTCAGGTTGAATTTACCAGAGAAATTATACCGTTGCAACATGTGTTAAAAGTAATGTTTTACTTTGCAATTAAAGTTAGACTTTTCAGCACTCTGCAGCAAATCTGTTTTGTAGGAAATATAACTGTCCAGATTACATTTATCTGCATGACAGCAAAGTGTGTACGGAGCCAACGAATATTAAGTCTCATTCATGAAATGTGAGCACAAGGAATTTGTGTGTTAACTGTTTGCAGAAGGAAATTTACTTCTGTATTTCCACATTCATCAATATGTTAGTTGCTCCGATCTTTTCATAGGTCGTAAATAATGATTGCACATCATTATTGCTTGAACTCCACGAATGTATCTCTTGTTTGAGTAGTGAAACTGTGAGAGTCACCTACTGACCAAACACTATCAGTGATGGCTGTCAGAATGTACATCGATTTAACACTTAACACAACACATACATCACCTCAGCTTCTGAGTTTGCTGTTGACTGCTCCAGTGGAGGCATGTCTATATGCCGATATACAGTCTTGTTTTCCTTAGCTGCACTGTTTTGCCCCAGGCGTGCTTCTCACTACCTGCACGTACCACTGTAGGATCTTTAAAATTAACTCAAGCCCTACCTTTTTAGCCTGGTTTTTAATTGAGCTCTCCTTTATTTTATTTTATTATTATTTTTATTGTTTTTCATTTTATTTTTGAAATTTTGTATTTATGATTATTGTGTATTTATTTTTATTAATCTGTTTTTATTTAGCTGGCATATTCTTCAACTTCGTTACTTATTTATTTATTTATTTTTAACTTATTTATTTTCCTATTTATTGAAAGATCTAAAATTTCGTTCTTTATTCTGAGTTTTTATTCTGCCTCTGGTGTTTTCTTTGTCAGTGGTTTTTTTTTTATTCTGTGACAACTATGATTTTTACAGCGGTATACAGTGGTACATGTATCAGTTGTAAATATTGGCTATCGGTATCTCTGTTTCATAATAATCGGTATCGGCATCGGCTCTGAAAAAACCATATCAGTCAATCCCTACTTCCTTCAGCAGAGGACATGGAGTTAACAGCATCTGTTACCTCCTTTCAGGCCTTTGATTTGTCCCTGTCACACCACTAATAATGAAATTATATATATGACAAAATATTTTTCTCTCAACCCCACTTCACCTAAAATACCTCTAATCTCAGTGTTGGAAAAGTTTTTCTCTCTTTCTCTTTCTTTGTTTACTCCACATATTTAATGAATGAAACCCATTATTCATCCTTAACATAGGCTAATCCAGGCACTAGGTTCATGGTCATTAGATCAAGGTGTTGGTTAAATACTGAAACTAAATACTCTAACTAATATACAACGTAGCTCACACATTTCACCAGTGTTGTCTAATCTAGTTTGGTTACTCACAGTATGCAGAATTGATTTTAGATCTTTTAATCACCTGTAAAGCGCTGCGTGGGCTGGCTACACTTTATATCTCTGAATGTCCCCTTGCCACAATGACATCACTGAGGTCTTCTGACCAAGGCCTTATGGCTGTCCCAAAATCAAGGCTTAAAACCAAAACCACTAATGTGTAGATGTACATAAAGTAGTGTGAGAGAGTGTGTGCAGAAATGCTAAAGCGTCTCTTAGCAACAGTTGAGTCCCAGTCCAGCTGCTGAACTGCTGTTGTGTAGGTGGAGACAAATAAATGATTGAATAAACAAAAGAAAATCAGAAATCTGGTGTTGCTTTTTACTTTTAACTAACAAATGGTGCTTGTAGGACTCTTCTATATTCATTCATTCATTCATTTAACTTTAGGATCACATGACAAGACACTGTTACTTTATTACCATTTTCCCATCTTGCATGTACAAAACAAATCAAAACGTGAAAAAGAAAAGAAACAAAAGACACAAATGGCTGCTCACACAAGAAAATACCAAACATGGCTAATTTGTAGGTTTGTTTGTATTTACAAAATACATATAAACAAAGTACCATGCAGTTCACAATAAAAAAGGAGAGTAGAAATAAAATGGAATGATTTAAACAGCACATTTGGCAGATTCGCTTTTCTGCCTCTAGATTATAACAAACCGTCTGATTTCAACAGTTTCAACAGTCAGAGGTCAAATATCAGATCTCAGCTGAGCACAGAGATCTTTGCTCTTTAGACAAATTGTATGTAACATAATTTGCAGCTGTACCATATTTAGTTTTTATCGTTGTAAAAGGACAGATTTGGGGAAAGCTTTTATACATAGTTTCCATCAATGGAATCACAGCTGTGGTTATATTCAGTACAACAGTGCTCCCTGTCATGTGATATTTCTTAAACATACAGCACAGTAAAGCCTAGTTCACATTACACGATTTTCACCCTGATTTTGCGTCGCAGAGACTATCGTAATCTTTTGAGTGTTCATACCTGGCGACGTTTGTTTCTGTCAGCTTGAGTTTCTCCAACTGTGTTATGACCTGTGTGTGCACACCACAAGATTTCTCCACCGAGCCCTCGCCGACAGAGCCCCAGATAATGTGGTGACGTCACCAAACTAAGGTTTTTAACTTGGAGACGACACATCGTAAAGGCATGGATATTCTTCCCAGTGTTGAATCAGATCTGCCTCCAGGGCCTGGGTCCAAACACAACGCGCTCTCCGTGATCCTTTGGACGCCGCCATTGTTGTTGTTGCTTGCCGGCTTGTCCGTGTTGCCAGATCTTGGGAGAGAAACAAGCAACCAGGGCTATGGAAACAAGCCCAAAAGAAGCAACTAGACCTGGCAACCCTGCGGCTTGTCCTCCTCACATTTCTTCCGTCCTCCTGTGTGCTGACGTGGGACGTATCCCGTCTCTCATTGTCTGATGCTCCAGTTTTCTAGCATGCCAGATATCCAGTCCCAGTCACAGACGACGGGGCGACTTGTAGGCTTGTTCACACATGAGGACTCGTCGTGGCAGACTATCCGCTGACTCACCTCTGACCCAAGGTGGCTCTCAAGATCCTCTGCGACGTCAAAATCGTGGTGAAAATCGTGTAATGTGAACTAGGCTTTAGATGGTGTAGTTTAGTGGTTCATTACTGACTGATTAGGACACGTCAAAGGATTGTAAGAAAACTCTGATAGGTTGTGAGATCAATAATTAGGCAGAATGAGTGAATCAGATTCATCACATTCCCTGGACTGGAAATGAGAGTTTAACCAAAGCAGCAATAAGGTTTAATCAGACATGTTTGGTGAAGGAAACTACTTGTATAGAAGCACATTTTGTAGGTGACGAGTCTTTGTTAAGCAGTGATGATGTTTAGTGGATCTGAAAATCACACGTCTGCTCACCACAGCTGATGCCTCTAGTTTTACTTTTCTTGTGGCGTCACCTTTTCACAGGCTGCTCTCCACCGTTTGCACTGTTAATTGATAAATCAAAAGAAAAAATCTGAATGTTGTTTGCTCGTTCGCACTCCAGTGCCAGAGCTGCCATGTTTTTAGTCGCCCCTTTGGTTTAATTTCTTGGCATTTTCTAGCTTTCTGATTTTCTGAATAGCGTCTGAATGGGAGAATTTTTAGCAGCCAACTTGAAAGTCCTGAATGTGAGACTAGAACCAACAGCACATGAAAGCAGGATAATAGCTCTGGCAATGAAAACAATCTGACGGTGGAATTTAAATCAAGTACTATCTGTCCACAAAATTTCAACATTCAAAGAGGGATAAAAACAGGAAATACTTTCATCTTCCACAAGTATGCAGAGAACATGGCGGCGGGCAATTTGGGCCTCCGCAGAAAGAGTGTCGGATGAGTAATTCTCCAACTAGTAATTTGCACCCAACGAGCAGGCATGGGTACAGCTTTGCAGGTTAATGCTTCCTCTCTGTAACATCATCGCTGCACGTCGTCTTAACAAATTGTCTTACTGTGCACAAAGACTGACGGAGACACAGACGCGCGAATACACAGCGAGCGCCGCCTCCACATATAGACCAGCCGTCCTCACTGACCCAATGACTTCATTCTCCTCTCCTCCTCCTCCTCCTCATTTACAGGTGTGTCTCACCGCCTGGGTTTCAACACACCTCCAGCGCTGCTTCTTTCACACTGGACGAGTCATTTGCATTCATTTCCATATTTCCCAAAATCATGTGTCAGCTCTGACAGCGAGGGGCTAGTTTTGTGTCAGATCTCCCCCCAGCCAAAAAGATAAGACACGGGAAAAAAAATAAAAATCAATGTCTTCCCACAACTCTATCTCTGATGTGGCTATATATAGACACTCTTTTTTTCATTCCTCTCATCCTTCATCATGTTCTGGAGAAGATGTACTCCTCCCTAAAGCGCTGTTCTCTTCTGTGTGCCTTTTGTTTTATCTGCTTGTAGCGCTGTGGGAGTTTGGTATCATGAAGAGTGCAGATCGAAGTTTGGACTCAAAGGCTTCGACGCAATAATGTATCAATGGCCTGACTGCAGATTTGTAAAGTCTCTGCCCGATTCATTTAACCAACTTTCTTGCAAACTTCACAAAGGAGATATTTGGCACGATGAAGTCAGTTTGTCCGTGAACAAAAGCCCCATGCAACAATACACACCCACGTGCGTGCACACACACTCGCTCTCATTCTGTCTCTCTCACACGCTCACACATACCCACACAAACATTATGAACCAACTGCTTATCGCAGCATAATGGCTGGAACGAACCAGGCTGCTGCCAGCTCATAGATGAATTGGACAGTTTATAGCGTATCCTAAAAAATAAAATAATATATGAATTACTTTTACATGTGTGATATGTGTGTATAAAGGTGAGATACACTGAACAGGAATGAAATGCAACACTTTTGTTTTTGCTCCCATTTTTCACAGGTTTGAGTTAAAGAGCAAAAAATATTAATATCTCAAATTTTGGCTGCATTTTTTTTTTTTTTAAATCTGTGTTAGCGAGCACTTCTCTTCTCTCTTCACTTCCCTCTTAAATAATCCATCCATCTGACAGGTGTGGAACAAGATGCTGATTAAGCATCATTACTGCACAGGTGTGCCTCGGGCTGGTCACAATAAAAGACCACTCCAAACATTGCATTTTATTTTAAAGTCAAGATGAAATGAAAAACACCTCTTTAACACATTAAGATTATCTCTCTTGACATTTTGTGCACATATTACAAAATATATGCCAAACAAATGACAAAAAATCCATTCCTTTATGCTCTTTTTTCCTGTAATGCAAAATATGACGTGTGCTTGCAATCAGCTTTAATTTTACCAGCTATCTTTGATTTAATCTCAGTTTTATTCTTTAGACAAAAGCTCATATTAGTTTAGGTCACATTTTAGTAATTTTTACCCTTCATAGTTTTTGTCAGTGACAACTCAAAACATTTACATCAATGAAAAGTCATGACCTTATAGTCAAAATTTTTCCCTTCAAACTAATCTAATTAGGCTGACACAGGTATCAGAAATTAGAATCAAAGTGACAGGTGGTATAAAAATTTCATTTAGACATAATTTTTTCTGCAACTACTGTAAAACTTCAAATAATAGCCTATTATTCGCTTCAATCTCTGAAATTAAGGGGCCTATTTGTGGTACCTTTAATTCCTTTTACACAAAAGCCCAGCAAAGATGGGAAATACAATCAAATTGTCTATTTAAACCAGTATGAATAGAACTTGTATAAAAATTAGGCTTTTGAATATATGTTAAATATGAATCATCCATTTTCTCTAACTCCAACAGACAGCACAGCAGAGAGAGAGTGAGTTACGGCACTTGAGGATTATGGCGCCCAGCATACCGACACAACACCACTTTATGCTGTTAAACCAATCCTCACAACTTGGATTCATGTTTATAAAAAAAAACAACCTTTGGATTCCTTTGACCTGAGGACCCTTACAGACTAAAGGAATATGAATAACTTACTGGGTAATCGAGGAATGGACACATAATTTCAGGAAACTTACAACCTGGTTTTATACATCTGAAGAACTGCTTAGCTGCTTAGCAACCAGCCCAGGCCTCTAATTGAGACAGGCCTTTATTTGTCAAAATGTGTTGCCACACTGGGCTAGTAAAAGGGTACAGGTGTTCATTGGGACTAGGCTTTAAATCATAAGTGCTATAACGTAGACAACTGGATTTGACACTGGTTTAGACCCTAGCTGATCTGTCTTTAATCACGGCTGTTTCTTTCAGAGCCTCACGGTCCATCCTTCACCATTGGTAAGGCCATCTGGCTGCTCTGGGGTCTGGTCTTCAACAACTCTGTGCCAGTGCAGAACCCCAAAGGCACCACCAGTAAGATCATGGTATCAGTGTGGGCCTTCTTCGCTGTCATCTTCCTGGCCTCCTACACTGCCAACCTGGCTGCTTTCATGATCCAGGAGGAGTACGTGGACCAGGTCACCGGTCTCTCAGACAAGAAGGTAAGATGGAAGGTTGCCAATCTGTCTTCTTTCATGTAAATAAGTCAGTGCTTTAAATGCTTCTCTCTCCATGCTCCGTCTTCCATATTTAGTTCCAGAGTCCCAACGACTTCTCGCCTCCGTTTCGGTTTGGCACCGTCCCAAACGGAAGTACAGAGAGAAACATTAGGAACAACTACCCAGAGATGCATGGCTACATGACAAAGTTCCATCAGAGAAACGTCAACGAGGCTCTGCAGAGTCTGAAGGCTGGGTAAGAAACAGTTTCACTGTTAAACCGAATTTACAAAAAGATTTTCGTAATAAAATGATTTTAAGTCGGGCTTTAAGAAAACACTGATACACTTGAGTATTCACTGTAGGAATTTTAGGAGAAAAGATAGAAAGATATAGAAGATAGACTTTATTAATCTCCGAGGGAAAATTCAATTGTTTTCACTCTGTTGTCATACACACACAGGCCCATGTGCACAAACAGGACCTGTACATGCATTAAATGGAGAGATGTCAGAGCGAGGGGACTACCTCAGACAGGTGCCCTGAGCAGTTGGGGGTCAGTGTCTTGTTCAAGGGCACTTCTGCAGTGCCCAAGCGGAGAGCTGGCACCTCTCCAGCTACCAGTCCACGCTCTGCTTGGTCTGTGCGGGTGATTGAGCCAGCGACCCTCTGGTTCCCAAGCCAGGTCCCTATGGACTGAGCTACTGCGACTAGCTATTTTGAAACCTGCTCATTTTTAGCGTTTCCTAATTATGTTTTCATGGTTGAATTTGAAATCTCAGTAGCTCTTTCAGTAGTTAACTACTCAGGGTCATGTAGTTTATGTAGTTCCTTACAAACTACATATTCATAGTATTTTCACAATGTTTTTTCACACAATATGGCACCATTGGCCAGAGTTGTCCTTTAACGACAATCACCTGCCATTTGACTACAATTACCCTGTTTTCCAACCAAGATGTCTGCAATTGAATACTATGAATTTCCTAAAAGTTTCCATTTGCCTGATTGCACCCCAATAATTTCTCCCCATCCTCTCCTTGAAACACATCCTCAGGCTGCCTAGGTGAGGACTGACCTGCCCTAGTCCCCAGTTCAAACACACATAGACTTTATTTCGTGTCAGTTCAATTGTAGCTCCATGCAAGAACTAGTAGGCCTAGTTAACGACTTCCCAACGCTGCATATTACAGTAGAAATTGTGAATAGTTTTAACAAAAAGAATCAATGCTTAAGTCCCCTGTTTTTCTCGTTCCTACTGGTCTTCATGTAAACATATTGTAGCTGAACAAGTCCAACAATACTTGCACTCCCCCTCTTCACTTCTCATCAAGTGTGCCTTTTCACCAGTCTGTGTGCCAGCTCCAGCCTTTGGCAAACCAAGTGGAAGTCTATTACACTTATCAGCAGCTTAGTGCTATTTAGCAGGTTAATTGGAATGTTGTAGCTGTGATGTCTGACTCCAAAGTGCTAATTAATTGTAACCTATCTCTCTCTCTCTCTTCCTCCCTCTCTTTTTCATTAGCAAACTAGACGCTTTCATTTACGACGCGGCCGTACTGAACTACATGGCTGGCAGGGACGAGGGCTGCAAGCTGGTGACCATTGGCAGCGGCTACATCTTCGCCACCACGGGGTACGGCATCGCCATCCAGAAGGAGTCGCTCTGGAAGAGACATGTGGACCTGGCCATCCTGCAGCTCTTTGGAGATGGTGAGACGGCGTGCTGTTTCCTCCGCTGTTTTATTCATAGATGGTGCGCAGTTTAATGCACTCAGCAAGCAGAGACCCTGTCATGCATGCAGCTGTGCTGATGTGATGAGTTGTATAAATAATGACTCAAAGATGCACGAGTTAGTCACTGAGATAATGCAGTATGTTCCTGGGGAAGAAACAGAACTTGTTATTGACAGCTTTGAAGCAAACGTTTAAGGATAAGTCCGCCTTATTTCAACTGGGGTCTTATTTTATTGACTTGAGCCATTGTTTCTGTCAGTTAGAAAAACGCTGTACTCAACAAGTAATGCCTACCTTACACTAGAAGACTCTCAACAGACTTTAAAAAGACTTAAGTCTGACAATTGAGTTTTGAGTCACACACAGTAAGACTTTACAAAGACTGGGGATCTTGCAGGGTCACTGTTTTCAAGACTACAGCTAGATTTCTTTTGAGATTATTTCCCATTCTGCTCCTGGTGTAAAATATTACACCAAACTCCCTTTAAGAAATCTGTCAGCAAAAATACATGACACTAGAAACACGAGATAAAAGATGTCATGTGTCAACAGTATTCTTATCAATTCGGCATCAAATATAATCTATAAAGATAAACCCTATTTTGCAAAAGCTCCAGCCTCCATTGGTTAGCTACTCTATTTTAGTGGGCGGAGTCCGTGGGAACGAGACGTGCTGGTTGGTGGATTAGGCACATGCTGAATTAAACACAGGCTCTTCTTCGCTCTACAACTCCACCAGTTTCTCCCTCTTTTCCATAGTACAAGAGAACCAAAACTTGTTCACGTTCTTGTGCCTCCCCGGAGTCCTCTCCATGTTTTCTGTCTCCCTGGTGTCCTACTTCCTGTTAGGTGCTGGAGAGAGGGCAGCTATTGGTTGTTGACAATGTTTGTATGAGCCGGGACTTAAAACTTATGATTATATGAAACATGTTTGATTGTTTCGGAATATCAAGATGAGAAAAAGATTGACACCGTTTTATGACCACCTTACACAAAACGATTCACGAGATCATGGGAGCACGCGAGGTAAAACTCTTATGATTCCATTAAGACATAGGATAAGATAAGACAAGACGAGACAAGACAAGAGAAGACAAGATAAGATTAATTTGGCAAATGAATTCCACTCAAAAGCAGAGTGTAGGGAGGTGGAGACAGAGTTTGTACCCATAATTGTGTAAAAATGTACAAAAAGAACAATTACACGTAAAGGCCCTGACACACCAAAAAGACCAAAGAACTAGAGGCAACAAAGCCTACAGCCAATAGCCGACCAGCATGTACGTTGTGCACCTTAGTGAGAAGAAATAACTCTCCACACGAACAGACGCTGGTAGTCTGTAATGATCATTCAAAAAGGGAAAATGGAAGACCGTCATGATGCTAGTTAGCCAGTTAGCACATTGACAACACAATGTTGAAAGAATAGAGCATTTTTACCCTGTGCCAGTGAACAATAACACAAAACATCAACAAAAGTTACTCCTAAGAAAAATAACCTTACCTTATGCAGCAAGTTTGTTTTAATCTCACTCCCTCTTGACTGTAGCTGTTTGTTTACTTTCCTCACTTCTGTTTCTCTTCTCATGCGCTGAGCAGAACCACCAATCACGGTTTCATTCACTGACGAGCCACGTTGTCTCCAACCCAGATTCAACATGCTGAATAGGCCGAAAAAAGGCAGACACAGGCCAACAGTGCAGAACACACCGCAAAGACTGGGGTGCTCACCAACGGCCCAGGGTCTTAATGGATAGTGAAAAGGCAACCAGAAGCGTTGAAGTGGGACACAAAGCAAAAACGTAAAGAAATGAAATTGATTAAGGAGGCATTGGTATATTTACACGATATTATGACGTGTTTTATTAACATAATGTCAGTATTTTATTCTTAAATATCACTTTTCTTGTCAAAACCGGTATTTTGCAACACCCCCAAACTGAACTGCTTACTTTGCAGGCAAAACTGAAAGTGAATGAAATATTCAGGCCAAACCGTCATTGCACAGTGAGACTGTGTGTGTGCGCAGCTAAAGCAAGTACTGTATGGTAGGTTGGTCAAAGTTGAACCAGGACGTAAGTGTGTAAACTGTTATAGAGACAATATTGGTCAGATTTCAACCAATGACCTTCATTATTCCCTCCAAACAAGTTTTCCTAACCTGCTTTGTTTAAAACCGATGATGTCACCAAATCCCAGATCACAGCAGTTGACCTGGTGAGTACAGTGTTACAATAACCAGAATAAACGATGGCCAGACCGAAAGAAAAAAGATCCAAGTTGTGATAAACATGAATTATCCTTGAAGAGCTAATTCGAGGCGCTTGATTTACCCACCAATATGCTCTGAACAAATCTTGCCTCAGGCACTGCTGCAGGGACAAATAACAGTGGCTAAGTTTATTTCTCATGTGTAAAATACAACATTTTCAAGAACTTTAAACTCAGGCAAAAACAGACGTCTCAGTCAGAAAGATTTTAGGGTTTAACCCACTCCCACCTGAGCAGCATACGAACTGGTCGAGGGAGGAGAGAATCATAGTTCTTAATTAATTTCTGTGTCTGTGACCACAATTTTGGTGATTAATTGGCTCTGTAAGTCAAATGTACATGTAATTTCACTCTCATTATATCAAGAACAGACAGAAAAGGTAAGACGGCGCTGCTAGGAATATAACTCGAGATTTAGCTCCACCGTGGGGGCCCGGTGCTTTATGATCACGCTTGCCTTTTATGGGAGACTGTCCAAGCTCTCCAGGGCTTGTTCTTTTGAAACACTTCATTCCTGTCAGCTCGAGCTGGAGCATTAATGAATCTCAGAACGAGCAGGGAATGAAATGAAATGTGCTCAAAATGTCCATTCCTAACCCGCACAGAACATGCTTTACGGTTTTCAAGAGAAAATTCCTGGTCATAAACAAGTCAAAATGTCACAGGGAGCAGCTGCTCGCTCAGTTTATCGACTCTAACAGTCTAATTTCACAATGTCCTGTTTTGATATACAGCTCAATGCAGAATGGGCACTGTAATGGAAGTTTGGTGTGTGTGTGTGTGTGCTTGTGTGAGTTTGCGTGTGTGTTGTTGCTAGTTTATTTGGGCACGGTCCAGCGTGTTGTGAGCATCCTGAACCAAGGGCCCTCCGGGGCCCACTATAGTGCGTCCCAGTTAGGGGTGCCAGCATAGCTCCTGGTGTATTTCAACGCCGTGTGTGCATGAGTGCGCGGGTTTGTGTGTGTGTGTGTGTGTGTGTGTGTGTGTGTGCGTGCGTGCACATGTGAATATGGGTCAGGCCTTTAAAAATGAGCGAGCCTATGTGTGTAAGCGAGGGTGTGTGCGTGTTAGCGAGGTAAAGAGAGAGCCGTGTAGAGATTCTGACTATTTATGACACAGGTTTATTTTTATCAACCTACATACAGTTCAATAAGACTGTTGTGTTTCTGATTTATTGATTATAAGTTTGATTGTTACGTGTGTTAGTTTAGTGTACATGTCTGTTTTTCTATGAGCACATGTGTGTTTGAATATGGGTCAGCTCGCAGTAACACTCCCACTGTGCTGCTGCGAAAGCATTCATACAGGAACCAAGCGGCCCTGTCTCGCCACCTCTCAGGATTTCAATGTCACTTTGCCACACCTCGCCATCCACTCCCCTCCTGGTGGCCTAGAAAGCGATGAGACTCACGTGGAGAGCCCAGTGGCCTGGTACGAGGGCTGGAAGGGAGTCTGGGCAGTCTGACGCAGGCCCGGGCAAAAAATACATCACAGCTGTCGTGAAAAAGAAACAGCAGTTTTGATCGGTGGTTTTCTGATTGGCTGTTGGACGGAAAGTTTTGGAGTCATTTGCAGAGCATGTTGAGTTCAATGATATTTTGCCCTTGACACCAATGTTGGACCTGTTGCATCATTTCAGAGATGCCAGGCATCAGTGATGAAAGTTTTGGGTTTCGATTCGGCTTTTGAATCCAACTGGCAATAAAGATTATGAGCTGATGGAGAAACAAACTGAAAGCATGATGTTCTTACTAAACAGACAGTCCACCGCTGTCCTTTTATATTTTGTCATTCAAGTCAGCTCAGTCGTTATTCTTTCAGTTGAATCATCCAGTGTCCTTTATTTTATTCCCCTTGCTTTATTGTCAGCGTCTGAAATAACTTTTTTCACTCCCTGCCACTGTGGCGGTCAAGTTTTTTTTTTTGTCTGCCACTCAGAATTTTTATCTGCCACTTCTGAAATCCATTGAACTAAATGGAGGAATCACAATAAGTGTATTTAGATATCATGTAATGTAAAGAATGATGTTTCATTCACTCATAACGCCCGGAGCTATTCCTTCAGACAAAATTAACACGTGGGTAGTGAGGTGATAGAGCAACAAGTGGGCGTGTGTATTATGCGTGTGCACATCTTTTTATTAATGGTTATTAGTTAGAGTTTGGTGAACTTTGACTGTCAATCAAAATGAGTGAGGTTCTGTGGCCAACAGCGTTGCTTTTATAGCATAGCCTTTCTGTTGTGTAAAAGCTTAAGAGCATAAAAGTTAAAGGAATAGTTTTTGGAAAATATGTTTATGTATTTTCTGCAAAGGAGTTGGATAAGAAGATTGATACTGGGGCGACCTCTAGCTCAAGTGGGAGAGTGTGCACCCCATATATGCTGAGTCCTTTGCAGCAGCCGGGTTCACTTCCGACCCAGGGCTTCCCGCTCTCTCGCCTTTCCTGTCTGTCTTCAGCTGTCCTATCAATAAATGCAAAATGCCATTAAAAATATATATATATTAGAAAAATTAAGTGAGGTTGATATCACTGTCATGTCTGTTAAGTAATTATGAAGCTACCGCTAGCAGCTGGTTAGCTTAGCTTAGCTTAGCATAAAGAAATAGTTTCCATTAAACCCCCATTTAAAGTAGTAAAAAGTTTTTACACTTGTTTTTGTCTGGATTAAACACATGAGATACAACATGTTCATTAGAGAATTT